AGGAGAGTGAAAAAGCCGGCTTAAAACTCAACATTCGGAAAACTAAGATCATGGCATCTCGTCCCATCACTTCATGGCAAATAGATGGGGAAGCAGTGGAAACAGTGACTTTATTTTGAGGGGCTCCAAAATCACTGCAGATGGTGACTGCAGCCATGAAATTAAAAGACGCTTTCTCCTTGGAAGAAAAACTATGACCAACCTAGACAGCATATTGAAAAGCAGAGACATTACTTTGCCAACAAAGGTCCATCTAGTCAAAGCTCTGGTTTTTCCAGTAGTCATGTATGGATGTGAGAGTTGTACTATAAAGAAAGCTGAGCGTCGAAGAATTGATGCTTTTGAATTGTGGTGTTGGAGAAGACTCTTGAGTGTCCCTTGGACTGCAGGGAGATCCAACCAGTCCTTCCTAAAGGAAATCAGTCCTGAATATTCATTGGCAGAACAGATGCTGAAGCTGAAACTCAAATACTTTGGCCACCTACTGTGAAGAACTGACTCATTTGAAAAGACCCTGATGCTGGGAAAGATTGAAAAAGGGAGGAGAAGGGGACGACAGAGGATAAGATGTTTGGATGGCATCACCAACTCGATGGACTTGAGTTTGAACAAGCTCCTGGAGTTGGTGATGGACAGGGAAGCCTGGCATGCTGCAGTCCATGGGGTTGCAAAGAGTCAGACACGACTAAGCAACTGAACTGAACTGATTCAAAGTGGGTCTACAATGAGATAATAAGGAAATTGAGAGTGTGCATTTTAAAACTTTTGTAGCAGTTTGACATTGCCACAGTATTCAAGCAGTGTTTTTACTGAATTTTACTAAAGTATTGGTTCATGGCAGATTGGAAACTTAAAAAGCAGACTTAAAAATCTGTTCCTTGATGCAAGATAGTTTGAGAAGAGCTAAGATAGACTTTCCACTGAATAGAAATGAATACTTGCACTGCACATAAATGAACCTTCTGATTTATCCATTAGTCTTTTGGGATTTGAGTTATTAACACTTCATCACCAAGAATCTGACCATCTTTGAGTGTGCAGTAGTGTTTTTTGACTTACAAGACTGGTCCAAATTTTCCCAAGGAAATGTCTTTTGTATGAAGCCTCTTTGTATCTCATTTCCTAGCTTTTCCCTGCCAGCATCTATTTGACCTTGCTGCTATAGTATTTACATTTTCATTCCATTATTGACAAGCTTGACAAAAGATAAATTACCACTAAGTTAAATTGTTTACTATGACATGAAAATACTAATTTTGACAATACTAGATAAATCTCTTGAAAATGTCCCTTCCACTTTTGTTTTGTTTTAGCCCAATTTTCTTATACATTTAACGAGTTAACATCACCATGTTTGGTGAATTTATAAGGTGCTTTCCTGTTCATGAGAGAGGCAGTTCTAAGTGAAGAAGTTACGATGAGCATTGATAAGTAGAAGACCTAAGTCAAGAGGCATGACAAGGAAAGAGATTTTTAGGATGGAAGTAAAAGATGATTCATTAAGTATGACTTACTTTCTTTCTGGCTGCATGACCTTGGGCAAGTTAATTAGTCTTTGTGAGTCTTAGTTTTCTCATCTGTAAAATGGGAATTATAATATTACCTTCTTCGAGAATATTATCAAAATTAAGCACAGATCTTGGTACATAATAAATAGCAAAAATGTTAGCATTATGTTTTGTTTTTAATTATATACCAGATGTCAGGTGCTATAGCATCAGAGATAAAGGGGGTTCAGTACCCCAGAGGAGCACTCAGTCTGATAGAGGAATCAAACAAATATGTCAGAAATGTAAACCAAACTAGTATGAGAATTTAATGCTATCACAGGGAGAAACACAGGACATTGTGGAAAATTTTAGGTAGGAGGAACACCTAACTTTTGACTTAGGCTTTGGGGAATGGGCTCAAGGTAGGCTTTTGAAAGAGGCAATATCTCAGCTGACTTAGAGAATGTGGAGGATTTATGAAGGAAAAATTAAGAGACTCAGGGTGGTTAAGTAGTTTGCCCAAAGTGACTTTTCTGCTTAATGCCCAAGTTGGGGTTTCAAGACAATCTGATTTCAAAGTCTGTTTTTCATATCATGTCTGTCTTCTCTGTAAACTTGAAAAGTTTAAACATGTGATGTTCTCTTTCTCTTTCTTTCCTCTGCCAGTATCCTGGTTTTAGTAAGATTGTGACACATCTTTTAGATGACTACTTTTCTCTTGATTTGCCCTGCTTTGTCCCCAAGTACCTCTGCCAGATTGCCTTTCCTGTCATGTTGACTCATGCCACTCAACTCTACTGCACCACCTGCTTTAAAACAGCAGGCCGACCGAGTCCTCCACTGGCCACTGGGCGAGGCCTGTCCTCCTCCGCTTGGCATTCAAGACTTACTGTGACATCATGAGAACTATCCAGTACTTCCACATTTCCCACTTTTCATGAGCACACATTCATGCCTCTGGTGTCATTTACATGCAGATATCACTTTATAAGGATGCCATTTTAAGGTTTAGATTAGATAAATTAATCTTCAGTCTTTAGATTTAATTACTCTCTTACAACTGAGTGCTCATTGCACACACACTCTTACTCTGTTATTTCTAAACATGATTTTATCGTTATGACCAAAAAAAGCTTGGATGTCATCCTTCTTTAGTTCCATAAGGGTTCTTGGTTATTGTTGTAGTTTAGTTGCTAAGTCATGTCTGACGCTTTTGCGACCCCATGAACTGTGGCCCACCAGAAGATAGCTCTGTCCATAAGATTTCCCAGGCAAGAACGCTGGAGTGGGTTGCCATTTCCTTCTCCAGGGGATCTTCCTGACCCAGGGATCGAACCCATGTCTCCTGCATTGGCAGGTGGATTCTTTACTGCTGAGCCACCAGGGAAGCCCCAGGGTTCTTGGTACTCTACCCATAATGTGATGAGCTAACCTCTGCTCCTACATTTTTCTGGAGGGATGCTTTTATTGAGGAGAGGCAAGGAGAACAATTTTGATTGTTAGAAATTTCTTAATAGTCAGAATCTCTTCTTTTACCATCCGTTTCCCAGGACTTGCCATTGGAACCACAGATAATTGGTCTTTTTTTTTTTTTCCTGCCTCATGAAGTTCCATCAGACATTGAAAGATAGCTCTTACGTCTCTCCTTGGGTTTCGTTACATAAATCAATAATAATATTGTTTGTTCAGAGCTTTTTTCATTAACATGTCTCAAACTCTTCACGGTATTTTTGCCCTCCTCTGAGAATTCTAGAGTTTTGTCATTGCCGGTCTAAAACCACAGGGCTTAGAACAGAAAACAGCATCCAACAGGACAGCAGTGCAACATTATTCCTTTGATTACGACTCTATGCTTGTGTCTTAAAAGCCTATGATTGTTTCAGCTTTATAGTAACCATGTCACATTTTGCATTCATTCAGTTAATATACCCAGATACTATATTTACATAATGGTTGTAGTTAAGCTAGCTCTTCCTGTCATCTACTCTGTAGTTGACTCTCTTTAAATATAGAACTTAGGATTTTTCTAGTTAGATTTCACCTTCATTTTGATCCATCTTTTTAGCTAATTTTGACCATTTTATCCAGTATATTTTTAAATGTGTTTCCCAGTTTTAGGTTGTCTCAAGACTTTGAAGCCTACTTTGCAGCTTGATGAACATCAGAAAAGTAGAGACTCTCCACTCCATCTCGGGAGTTGACTAATGCTTCTTACACATGGTTCTGTTAGCCACTGTTCTGTCACCCCTCCACATCTTTTTGTCTTACCTTGAAAGATCTCATTTGTACATTCAGCAAATTTTTATTCAGTGTCTACCATGTGGAAGAAGATACCAGTGATATAAGACAGTGGTCCCCATCTTCTGAGCTAACAATCTGGAGACATCATGAAGTGTTCTGTTAAATGCTTTACAGAAATCAGGTTACACAGTTCTCTATGATACTCGGTTTCTCTGTTGTCATATCAAAAGGGGAGGATGCGTTACTTTTTACAAACTCTTTGTTGGCTCCTAATGATTGTACATCACCTGAAAATGGGAATCATTATCTTTCTCTTTTCATAGGTTCAGAAGAACTTTGAGCTTGGAAAGTCTCCAGAATTCATTACTGACCTTTCTGTGTTTTATTGTATCTTTTAAACCTCTGAGCTCATTAGAGAGCAGCCTGTTTAGCCACATTTGTGGTGGTGACAGTAGCATCTAATCCCATTATTGGGATTCTTTTTGTATTTTATGGTAAACTTAGTTGTGAAGAATGTCTGTCCAACTTAAGCCATTTTCCCTTACACAGTCTTTGTCACTCCAGTTCTGTTTGTGTTTTATCTTTGTATTTTGTAATTATTTTTCCTAAGGAAAATAGCTGACTATCCTCAGATGTTTTTCTTCTCTTCTTAAAGCCCTTAAAGTGCCATAGTCACTTTTTCCAGGATCCTGGTCCTTTTCACTTAAACCATGTATTTCTTTTTAGTTCAACAAATGAAAACAAAAAAAATGCAGTACTCTAAGGGATGAAACTATCAACAATGCAAAGTGTTGTTTTTTTTACTAGAATATTACCAAAACCAGATAGCCTCATAGTTCCTAGAAGATAGCCCACCCATATCCCTAAATGTGGTTCAGTTATCTGTCAGGTGTCATCCAAACCTCAGCTTGTCAATTCCCATAGCTGTATCATTCCTACCTATTCTTTCTTCTTTCCCCATTGGTCTAGTGCTCTCTGCTATGCTTATACAGATTTTGAGTTGGACATAGATGTTTATTTTCTTAAACAGTTATGAGGATTCCCACCTTTTCCTGTAAATCTTTGTGGAACAGCAGATTCCCTGTAGTTGTCAAAATCTATTATGGTTACCAGTTGCTACCTCATCCCATCAAGTCTTGGTGACTTCCATGAGATTTTATTATCTCTGTGTTCTTTTTTCCTGTTGCTACTTTTAAGATTGGTGTCTAACACACTAATGTTCAGTAATATTTATGATTAATCTCAAGAAGTATTTGCCTTCTCTTTTAGGCTGTGAGGATATCATTGCTGAAAGCATCTCATTAGATACCTTAATTGCCATCCTCAAGTGGAGCTCTCATCCATATGGCTCTAAGTGGGTGCACCGACAAGCTTTACATTTCCTCTGTGAGGAATTTTCCCAGGTCATGACTTCGGATGTTTTTTATGAACTCAGCAAAGACCATCTGCTTACTGCTATCCAGTCTGACTACCTACAGGTAATCATTTATACACCTTTCAAATTCATTGTCATCCATATGTGCACCAGGAAGCCCATCTGTACTGTGGTATTCTCCCATCCAGGGAGCAGCCCACCCAGGAATGCCCTCTTCATATTTGTGCAGCCGAAGATTTCTAGGTCTCTGGCCCTTTGTGCACACTGCCACCATCACTGAACAGTGTGAACCAGCCCAGGTCCTAACCAGCTATTCACCAAAGGGGTTGTGGCAGTAGGCAGGGTCAGAAGCATATCCCAGTGGTGATTCTCTTGGCTTCTGTTAATAGGAGATTCACTATAAGAGTTTCTTTTATTTTTGGTAAAGTATCAGAAGATACTTAGACTAAAGCAGCACAAAGTAAGAGTAACATTCAATTTCTGACCTATTCAGACATTTCTTAAAACTCGGTGTATGAGTCCTGCTGAAGTATACTAATGTTTTCAGCTACTTATTTTTAGTCAGAAGTACATTTAAACAAATTCTTGTATTCTTATATATCATATAATTAAGTAATTTAAACTAACAGTATATTTAAAATAAGCTAATAAAATACTTTGAGGTAGTTTATTCAAGTTGTTTTTTTTTTTTTTGGCACTGGCTGTATCATTTTTATGCTGGTAACTGTACAGCAGTTTTAATGATATGAAGTTATAAACTCATTAAGCCATATCCTATTTCTTTGTATTTGTATTGGAAAAATTATGAAATGCTTTTCATCTCAGTCAGCAGTGCAGTGAAAGGTTAAGTAATCCACTTAGCATCTGTATTTTTCCTTTATACATTGCTTTGATTGCAGTACATATGTTGTCATAATCCGTCTTGATCTCTTTAGGATCTGTTTTCATTATCCTTATTATTTCACTGTCCTGATGCAGACATTGTAGGAAGTAGGATTTGTCAGTTCAGTTTTCCCCTCAGTTCGTCTCCCCCATCAGGGAGCTTCCATAAACCTCTTATCCTTATCCATCAGAGGGCATACAGAATGAAAACCACAATCACAGAAAACTAACCAATCTGATCACATGGACCACAGCCTTGTCTAACTCAGTGAAACTATGAGCCATGCCATGTAGGGCCACCCAAGACTGATGGGTCATGGTGGAGAGGTCTGACAAAATGTGTCCACTAGAAAAGGGAATGGCAAACCACTTCAGTATTCTTGCCTTGAGAACCCCATGAACAGTATGAAAAGGCAAAAAGATAGGATACTGAAACATGAACTCTCCTGGTCAGTAGGTGCCCAGTATGCTCCTGGAGATCAGTGGAGAAATAACTCCAGAAAGAAAGAAGGGACAGAGCCAAAGCAAAAACAACACCCAGTTGTGGATGTGATGGGTGATGGAAGTAAAGTCCAGTACTGTAAAGAGCAATATTACCTAGGAACCTGAAATACTAGGTCCATGAATCAAGGCAAATTGGAAGTGGTCAAATAGGAGATGGCAAGAGTGAATATTGACATTTTAGAAATCAGCAAACTAAAATGGACTGGAATGGGTGAACTTAACTCAGAATACCATTATATCTACTACTGTGGGCAAGAATCCCTGAGAAGAAATGGAGTAGCCATCATAGTCAACAAAAGAGTCTGAAATGCAGTGTTTTGATGCAATCTCAGAAATGACAGAATGATCTCTATTCGTTTCCAAGGCAAACCATTCAATATCACAGTAATCCAAGTCTGTGCCCCGACCAGTAATGCTGAAGAAGCTGAAGTTGAACGGTTCTGTGAAGACCTACGAGACCTTCTAGGAACTAACACCCAAAAAGATGTCCTTTGCATTATAGGGAACTGGAATGCAAAAGTAGGAAGTCAAGAGCTACCTAGAGTAACAGGCAAATTTGGCCTTGGAGTACAAAACTAAACAGGTCAAAGGCTAACAGGGTTTGCCAAGAGAACGCACTGGTTGGTCATAGCAAACACCCTCTTCCAGCAACACAAGAGAAGACTGTATACATGGACATCACCAGATGATCAACACTGAAATCAAATTAATTATATTCTTTGCAGTCAAACGTGGAGAAGCTCTATACAGTCAGCAAAAACAAGACCAGGAGACAACTGTGGCTCAGATCATGAACTCCTTATTGCCAAATTCAGACTTAAATTGAGGATAGTAGGGAAAACCACTAGACCATTCAGGTATGACCTAAATCAAATTCCTTATATACAGTGGAAGTGACAAATAGCTTTTTTTTTTGACAAATAGCTTTAAGGGATTAGACCTGATAGAGTGCCTGAAGAAGTATGAGCGGAGGTTCATGACATTGTTCAGGAGGCAGTGATTAAGACCATCCCCAAGAAAAAGAAATGCAAAAAGGCAAAATGGTTGTCTGAGGAGGCCTTACAGATAGCTGAGAAAAGAAAAGATACAAAAGGCAAAGGAAAAAAGGAAAGATATACCCATTTGAATGCAGAGTTCCAAAAAATAGCAAGGAAAGATAAGAAAGCCTTCCTCAGTGATCAAAGCAAAGAAATAGAGGAAAACAATAGAATGGGAAAGACCAGAGATCTCTTCAAGAAAATTAGAGATACCAAGGGAACATTTCATGCAAAGATGGGCACAATAAAGGACAGAAAAGGTATGGACCTAGCAGAAGCAGAAGATGCTAAGAAGAGGTGGCAAGAATACACAAAAGAACTACACAAAAAAGATCTTCATGACCCAGATAACCACGATGGTGTAATCACTCACCTAGAGCCAGACATCCTGGAATGCTGAGTCAAGTGGGCCTTAGGAGGCATCACTATGAACAAAGCTAGTGGAGGTTATGGAATTCCAATTGAGCTATTTCAAATCCCGAAAGATGATGCTGTGAAAGTGCTGCACTCAACATGCCAGCAAATTTGGAAAACTCAGCAGTGGCCACCGGAATGGAAAAGATCCATTTTCATTCCAATCCCAACGAAAGGCAATGCCAAAAAATGCTCAAACTACTGCACAATTGCACTCATCTCACACGCTAGCAAAGTAATGCTCAAAATTCTCCAAGCCAGGTTTCAACAGTATGTGAACCGTGAACTTCCAGATGTTCAAACGGGATTTAGAAAAGGCAGAGGAACCAGAGATCAAATTGCCAACTTCTGCTGGATCATCAAAAAAGCAAGAGAGTTCCAGAAAAACATTTATCTCTGCTTTATTGACTATGCCAAAGCCTTTGATTGTGTGGATCACAATAAACTGGAAAATTCTTCAAGTGATGGGAATACCAGACCACCTGACCTGCCTCTTGAGAAATCTGTATACAGGTCAAGAAACAACAGTTTGAACTGGACATGGAACAACAGACTGATTCCAAATCAGGTAAGGAGTACGTCAAGGCTGTATGTTGTCATTCTGCTTATTTAACTTATATGCAGAGTACATCATGAGAAATGCTGGGCTGGATGAAGCACTAGCTGGAATCAAGATTGCCAGGAGAAGTATCAATAACCTCAGATATGCAGATGACATATCACCCTTATGGAAGAAACGCAAAGAAGAGCTAAAGAGCCTCTTGATGAAAGTGAAAGAAGAGAGTGAAAAAGTTGGCTTAAAACCCAACATTCAGAAAACTAAGATCATGGCATCCGATCCCATCACTTCATGGCAAATAGATGGAGAAACAGTGAGAGACTTTATTTTTGGGGGGGGAGGGGGCTCCAAAATCACTGCAGATGGTGACTGCAGCCATGAAATTAAAAGACACTTGCTCCTTGGAAGAAAAGCTTTGACCAGCCTAGACAGCATATTAAAAAGCAGAGACATTACTTTGCCAAGAAAGGTCCATCTAGTCAAAGCTGTGGTTTTTCCAGTAGTCATGTATGGATGTCTTGAGAGTTGGACTATAAAGAAAGCTGAGTGCTGAAGAATTGATGCTTTTTTTGAACTGTGGTGTTGGGAGAAGACTCGTGAGAGTCCCTTGGACTGCAAGGAGATTCAGCCAGTCCATCCTTAAGGAAATCAGTCCTGATTATACTTTGGAAGGACTGATGTTGAAGCTGAAACTCCAATACTTTGGCCACCTGATGTGAAGAGCTGACTCATTTGAAAAGACCCTGATGCTGGGAAAGATTGAAGGCAGGAGGAGAAGGGGACGACACAGGATGAGATGATCCATGGGGTCGCAAAGAGTTGGACATGACTGAGCGACTGAACTGAACTTGATGACTGTTTAGAATCTTTGCGTTTCTTCTTAGAATGTAAAAAACTTGGAGAGCAACCTGGATTATGCAGTAAGATTTTTTTTTTTTTTTGCCCTAAAATTTTAAGTGCAGTACAAAGAAATGAGAAGCACATTGCCATTTCACAGACTGTGCCTGAGGGGTCCTTCACCGGTCAGTCACCGGTCAGTAGCGTACTTGGTGGAGATCGTAGTATCTTCTGCCAAGACAAGTTGCCATACTTGTTTTTTCTGCTCCTGAAGGAGACAGCAGTGACACTGTATCTCTACACTTTTACTTTCATGTATTACTCTCCATCTTGTCCCCAAAAGAATTTAAGGCAGCTGTATAGAAACCGTATAGTAAGATAAAACAGGGAAAGAAAACAGTTTAAAAAACAAATAAAGATGGAAATAAGAGTAAAAGTTTAGTTTGAGCCAGGAGTGAGGTTACTGGACCAAATGTATATAATTGGGTATTTGCTTCCTGGTATACCACAGGTTTAGGTCAGACATTTGAAACAGCCAGTGTAATGAGTGAAACATGCATGTTGTACATTGTATATATTTTATGACATAAGAAGAGTCTTTAATGAGATTAATGTCTGTCTGATTGCACTAAAATAAATACAAACTTTTTTATTATAGGCAAGTGAACAAGATATCCTTAAATATCTGATTAAATGGGGTGAGCATCAGTTAATGAAGAGAATAGCAGACAGAGGTAAGCTCAGAGAACTAGCTTGCAACTGTAAGTTTTTCCCAGAAGTTACTAAAGTATATGCTGCACACCAGTCTCGACAGTTACCACTGTTGCCTGGTGAAAATAGAAATATTTACAATCAGTAAAAATCCTTTAGTGGAAAGGGTTCACTTGGTTAGAAATAAACATATCAGAAAGTTTAATTTTGCCCTTTAAACTGTAACTCTTAATGTTCTCTTTCTGGGTGTTTAATAATGTATATTGAATGATTTATAATTAGAGTGTAATTTTTCAATTAATGAGTAAAGTGTTACAAAGGCGTGTTGTTGATGAAAATATTTTAGATTTAGGTGGTAGTGATAAGTGCATAGCATTATAAATGTACTAAAAGCCACTACATTGTACACTCTAAAATGGTTAAAATGGTAAATTTTATGCTATGTGAATGTTGCTTGAGAAAAAAAAGATATGACTACCAAAGGAAAGCATGTTTGTTGTTTTTTGACGTTTTTGTGAAAGGTAAAGGAGAAATGATACTTTTGCATGGCCTCCAACTAGGGGCTACTACAGAAGAGATGCCAGCACCATATGTCGCTTATGATCTTAACTTGGGGAGCTTGTGCTTATGTAGCAGTCTTACATCTTTATCTAGGGTGAGCCCACCCACCAGTGTTATTTCCTCTATATAATTCTGTGTTTGTCTATATAGTGAACCCAAATCAAAATATTTTAATTTGAAAAATTAAATGCAGGTTTCCCTTTCCTCTCATTTTTGACAGCTTTATATAGATAAATTTACATACCATAAAGTTCACATGTTTGAAGTGTTCAAGTCAGTGTTTTTTAGTATACTTAGAGTTGTTCTGCTCACATTTTAAAATATTTTTAAAAAGTACAGCTGAACCTGCCTTCAAATCATTTTATAGTGTTCCTTTAATGTACTGCTACCAAGCTCTAGGAAACAAAGGCAGTCCTCCTATCTAATTCTCCTGATTTAATCTGCAGCCTGCAGAAGCCTTTAGCAGTTTCAGATTTGAAATTTTTTTTTCATTTATTTTTATTAGTTGGAGGCTAATTACTTTACAATATTGTAGTGATTTTTGCCGTACATTGACATGAATCAGCGATGGATTTACACGTGTTCCCCATCCTGATCCCCCCTCCCACCTCCCTCCCCATCCCATCCCTCTGGGTCTTCCCAGTGCACCAGCCCTGAGCACTTGTCTCATGCATCCAACCTGGGCTGGTGATCTGTTTCACCCTTGATAGTATACTTGTTTGAATTTTTTAAATATAAAAACCACTGCTATTAATTTGGGACATTTTTGAAATGCCGGTATACAGTCTATGCTGCTGCTTTTCAGATTCTAAATTTGCAAATTTACCTACTTGCTAAAATTTATTTGTGATCCCCAAATCAGTGCTCATGACACTTTTAGTCATTTGCAAAGATGCACAGAATGACAGATTTGAGTCCCCTGTCATACGTTTCCAGCTTATGGTGAACAGAGTGATACGCTGCCATCTTCACTTAATTCTCAAACAAGTGGCCTTTTCATAGTCTTTTTAGTGCTGTGGTTTTTGTATCTTAGTAGGATTTTCTAGTAAACCCACTGTCTGAGATAGCCTCCAAGTGTAATACTATTAATACTGTCTAGTGTTCCTAAGTCCAAGAGGGCTATGATGTGCCTTATGGAGAAAATATGTGTTAGATAAGCATTGTTCAGGTGCATGAGTTACAGTGCTGTTGGCTGTGAGCTTATTGTTAATGAATCAACAATATATACTAACAAGGTGTCCTTAAACAGAAACATACATAAAACAGGGCTTTGTCTTCATTGGCTGACAAAAATATTGTGACCAGAGGCTCAAAGGAACCTAACTCTGTGTTCCCTTAGGAGCAGTGGTTCAGTATTCACTAATTGTTGTGGTGGCTTTAGAACAATACCACCCCAAGTAACAAGAACTGAGTGTATATAGTGTTCCATAATCATCAAAGGCTTATTGATGTGAGACTGGTAATGATATGTCGTATTTATTTGGGGCAGATAATGAACATCATTGATAAAAGTTTCCATTGTTCAGTAGTCTTCTGGCTGGGTTAGAATGGGAGTCTCTTCCACAGAGATGAGAAGGAAGCTGCACGGACCAGACTGCACCTTTATTTCAGTCACTTTCATGTATAAGGTTTCTGCCCTTACCTGTTATGTATCTGGGGATTTCATGGAATATTTCGTTTGAAAATAGGACACCACTACTTTGAGGAAAAATTTCTTTTGAAAAGCAGTGCCTTATATACACATTGAAGCCAAAGCATAACAAGGCGAGAACAAAAACTCTTTTCCACACCCTGGCAACAGTTTTAATAAGCCTCTCAAAAAACGGTATCTCTTTGTCACATTATTTAAGGGAAAATGCCAGTTTACCTGTGTGTTTATGAAAAAAATCCAGCATTTATATTGTTAATGATAAAGATTTTATTTTTAAGCAAAAAAAAAAAAAAATATATATATATATATATATATAGCCCCCTAGTTTAAAGATATGATTAAAAATTCCCAAAACATGTTATTTTCCTTCCCACCTCACTATCAAAAAGCATATATATACTTCAGATCTTCCTCTTTCACTAATACCCCATGAAAAAAACATTTATTCTCTGCTGTGGACAGTGGAAATATATTACACATGAACTTTTATGCATTAACATTTTTGTGGAAATTTAGGAGACTCATAAAATTCTTAAAGTTAAATAGAGTGTATATTAGGTTTTGCTGCTTTGAGGTATCAGGTGATATAATTTTAGATACTCATTAAATTCCTATTAAATCTATATAGTAGCCTAATGAGCATACTCATAACTTACAGTTAACAGAAGTAACATTTGTTCTGTATTACCCTTATTGTAAGTTATATTTAAAAAAAAAAACTGGCCCCAAAAGTGAGGAACATTAAGAAAAAGCCCTTGATCAAACTAGATTTTAATAGATTGTTGTTTTTTCTCCTTTGAGTTAGTATGCAGAAAAGTATTCTGTCTTCTTTAATGCTACTATATATTGACACCATGCTTTTTCTTTGTCCAAGAATATCTCTATTAAGGAAACTTCTTAAGCCATAAAAATAACTTATTTATAATACTTTATGAAGCAGGTAAATTTAATACAGAGGGTTACTGAAGGTATACTTAGAGAAGAAAGAGAACCTTTCTCTGGAAATTTGGATTTGAGTGGAGACCTCTCATTTTCTGTTTCTGTCATAGAGCCGAACTTACTGAGTGGCACTGCTCATAGTGTGAACAAGAGAGGAGTGAAAAGACGGGACCTGGACATCGAAGAGCTTAGAGAGATCCTTTCCTCTCTCTTACCTTTTGTGCGAATTGAACACATCTTGCCTATAAACAGTGAAGTCCTAAGTGATGCAGTAAGTATCTTTCTTCATTTATCCCTTTCATGAAAATAATGTCTTTTTTTTTAATCATTGTAAATAATTTCTCCTAATGGAGTATCGTGAGACTAAACTCCATGAAGACAGACACAGATGTCTGTTTTGTTATGTCCCCAGTATCTGGCACGTGGCACAAATAAATGTTTAGTGGATGAGACTTGAGTTGGGTGTATGTCTTACTTTTGCGAAAACATAGTCTCTAAATGGAGTTAATCCAGCAATTTATCAGTGTAGATCAAGTAGTCCTCATTTTAAATGGAAAGAGTAGAAGTTACCTTTGGAGACTCTCTTAAAAATAGCAGTAAATCAGAGAGCAAGAGAGGAAGAGATTGGTTCAGTGTAAAGGGGGTAAATGAATCCTTTAATTGTGTTTCAGGTAAAAATTAATGGAGCTGACTGATCATGTTACTTTCACAATTTTTATGTGAATTTTTTTAGACTATAAGACTTGCTCCAGTTAATGGTTGACAACCTGGAGGAGGAAATGGCAACCCACTCCAGTATTCTTGCTTAGAGAATTCCATGGATGGCAGAGCCTGGTGGGCTACAGTCCATGGGGTCTCAAAGAGTCAGACACGACTGAGCGACTTTCACTACTACTGTGATTGGCAAAAATACTCTTCACAGATTGGTTTATAACTTTAATAAGATGCTGTAAACATAATAGTTTTTTTCAACTGCACAGAAACATTGTAAAAGTCATCTGGGAAAAAACTGATAAGAATTTTTTAAGTTAGAAAAAATAAAGAAGGATAATAAAGAGCCAGCTTAAAACTAAATATTAAAAAAACTAAGATTATGGCATCCACCCCCATTACTTTATGGCAAATAGAAGGGGAAAAGGTAGAAGTAGTGACAGATTTCCTCCTCTTGGGCTCCAAAATCACTGTGGATGGTGACTGCAGCCATGAAATCAGAAGTTGCTTCTTGGCAGTAAAACTGAAAAATCTAGACAGTGTGTTGAAAAGCAGAGACATTACTGTGCTGAGAAAGGTCCGTATAGTCAAGGCTATGATCTTCCCAGTGGTCACATACACTTGTGAGAGCTGGACAGTAAAGAAGGCTGAGTGCCAAAGAATTGATGCCTTTGAACTGTGGTGCTAGAGAAGCCTCCTGAGAGTCCCTTGGATAGCAAGGAAATCAAACCAGTCAATCTTAAGGGAAATCAACCCTGAATGCTCATTGGAAGGACTGATATGCAGAAGCTGAAGCTCCAGTATTTTGGTCATCTGATGCAAGCAGCTGACTCACTGGAAAAGTCCCTGATGCTGGGAAAGATTGTGCACGGAAGAAGAGGGTGTCAGAGGATGAAATGGCTGGATAGCATCACCAATGCAATGAACATGAACTTGCCCAAGAGATGGTGAGGAACAGGGAAGCCTGGCGTGTTACAGTTCATGGGGTCACAAAAAAGTTGGACATGATTGGGTAACCACACAACAACTCTTCCATAATGTAAAATATATTTTAAAACTCTTAACAGTCAGTCTGTGATGTTAGCATAATAGAGAAGACAAAATAGCCCAGAAGAAGATCCTAATTAATATAAGAATTAAACATATAATAAGCAAGCTATCACAAACAGTGCTACAGTAACCCATCAGTGGGGGAGGGAAGAAATGTGCTTAAAGTTAAATCCTCATTTCACTTGCACACAAAATTAATCCATATTAGATTGAAGAATTAAATATTAAGTTGAAATACGGAAAAACTAGAAGAAAAATATTTATGAAATCTCTGATTAGAAGGATGTTCAGTCTCACTAGTAAGCACATATAGAGTAAAGAAAGCAAAATAAGACAAGTTATCACTTTTTTACCTATTAGGTCACTGATTTTTAAATAATATTACTGTCTGATAGGGGAAGTGTAGCTGGTACATTGGTAGCATCATCATTAAGTATAGTTGGAAATAACCTAAATGTCTAATAACAGGGGAAGTAAGTTATAGCATAACCACTTGACAGAATATTTTGCTGTCCTAAGAAATGTGTGCTTTTATGTATTCTAAAATTTAGTTAGGTAAAAATTTATCTAAAAAATATTGGAAGGAAACATATCAACAATACTACAGTTATAACAGATTAGAGTTATAGGATTTTTTTGCCTATTTTCAAAATATGTCTAATGCTATATTTTATTAGTTAAACATAATTTTAATGCAGCAATGAGATGTTTGTTATATTTAGCAAGAATAACATTAGAGAAACAATATTTGGTTTCATTTAAAATCTGGGACTAAAACCAGATTCAATTTGTTTTAGAAAAATACTTTAGAACTTTTGTTTAATAGATTTAGAAAATATATAGCTCTGCTGTTAATATCCCATGTCTAACACATAATAAGTGTAGTGAAAGTCGCTCAGTCATGTCCGATTCTTTGTGACCCCATGGACTATACAGTCCATGAAATTCTCCAGGCCAGAATACTCGTGTGGGTAGCCTTTCCCTTCTCCAGGGGATCTTCCCAACTCAGGAATTGAAGCCAGGTCTCCCACATTGCGGGCGGATTCTTTACCAGCTGAGCCACACGGGAAGCCCAAGAATACTGGAGTGGGTAGCCTATCCCCTATCCAGCGGATCTTCCCGACCCAGGAATCGAACTGGGGTCTTCTACATTGCAGGCAGATTCTTTACCAACTGAGTTATCAGGGAAGCCCAACACATAAGTCCCCAGTAAAAGTTTACTAATATTGGTTGTTAGCCGTAATGCTCTTATAGTGTATGTTAAGCATTGTGCCAAGTGCCTTTTATCTTCCTTACCTTCATTTCCTCCTCACAGCCACCTCATGGGCTACAGTACTTGATTTGTATTCTCCTAGCATAGATGTGGAAACCACAGGACCACCACATTTAGTTGGTCCTGCAGTGTCCCATCTCCAGGGCTGATTCGGGTCCTTGAGGTGACGCCCAGGCAAGAGGAGATGTCCATGGCCACATAGCTGTCGAAAGGAGAGTTAAGGTTTGAGCCAAGCTCTTCCCTTAGAGCCCTGCCCCTATCACTGTGCAGACTGGCTATCTTCGTGCTATAGATACAGGCCCAAGAATGTGCTTGTTTCATCTTGTGGAGGATAGATTGGGGGAGGAATCAATTCCTAGATGAGTAAGGAAAAAATCGGAGTTCTGAAAGTGAGTCTGACTCATATTTTTAATTAATATAACTCTTGTTTTTAAAATATCATTCCTCTATTTAAAGAAACATGGAAAGTTGTACCTTTTTATGGCTTTCTGAATCCTTTAAATACTTTTAAACATTCAAAGTATGTTTAAGTTTCATGTGCATTCCTAAGTTCATATTTAAATGGTAAAGTTTGAACATGTTGACTTATAGGTATAATTATTTTTATCTTAGTAATATTGTGCTACACAAATGTCTGTTTCTCTAAAAAATAATTTATTTTTCAAGATGAAAAGAGGCTTGATTAGTACTCCTCCATCAGATATGCTTCCTACAACAGAAGGTGGAAAGTCAAATGCCTGGTTACGGCAGAAAAATGCTGGAATCTATGTTCGTCCTCGGCTGTTCTCTCCCTACGTAGAAGAAGCAAAGGTAATAAACCATTTTAAGATGTTAAAGTACTTTATTACAAACTATAAACACAAAGATATCTATTGTGGTATCAATTAAATATTTGGAAATAGCCTAAATGTCCAATTAATAAGGAAAGGGAAACTAAATTCTGCTTTGACTTCTCACCAGAGTAGTTTTCCAAAATGTTTAATTATCAAGCATGTTTTTATTTTTATAACTTTATAAGTTGTATCTTACATTTTTCTCATCTTAGTTTTTCTTGCAGACTGTTAGCTTGGAAAAAACTTCATTTTACTGAAATGGTCATCAGTATGTTGTTATCTTCAGGGTGGGAAAAATGTTTGAAAGAAGACTGCAAACATATTTTTTCCCTTTGTAAACTAAAGAAATGCCATGACTTCCTATAACATATTTCTGTAGTGCTGACTGTTGGAAATTGTATTTAGCTTTCAAAAAAGTGTACAAGCTAAAACAAAATTTCAGGTCTACTAAATAAAAAGTTGGCATAATATTGCCATTCATATTATAACATAAAGAACTCTCTAAGTAAATATGATAAATACTGCAGTATGAAATACTGCAATTTTATTAGACATGTTCAGCCAAGGAGCTTCGGGGTGAGCTTTTGAGGAACTGACAGTCTTTGAAAGTCAGAAAGCACCTTTAAGCTTAATAAAATGAATTAACAGGCAAAATAATGCGTTTGAATATAGAAGCATAGTTACCTTAAAATTTTTCTCCCTTTTATTGTTGGAGTATCCCTAGTTTAAGATACATATATAAAAGGATTTGTGAGAGATTTATTGATGAGGTTGATAATCTACCCCTTATTGAGTAATTGACACTTTGAAAGTGAAAGTTGCTCAGTCATGTCTGACTCTGCAACCCCATGAATGGTAGCCTGCCTGACTTCTCTGTCCATGGAATTCTCCAGGCAAGAATACTGGAGTGGGTGGTGGGGATCTTCCTGACCCAGGAATCAACCAGGGTCTCCTGCATTGCAGGCAGATTCTTTACCACTTGGGAAGCAGTTGACACTTTAAATAATTGTAAAATGGGGTGAGGTGGGCGGGGGAGGCAGAATGGTTGGGTCAAGTCTTTGGGTCAATGCCTGAAGTGACTTTGGGTCAATGCCTAAAGTCACTCAAGCAGCTGAGGCCTCTGTGGAAGGTTGAGTGTAGTGCTAAAAGGTCCGTAATAAACTCGACTTACTCTCCTTTCTGCTGTCTAAAAGTAGAGCGGCTGCAAGCTGTGCATGTACACAAGTCCTGTGCATGTACACGTATGCAGTACCCGTGCATATGCGGATAAATGCCCGCAGTAAATGTGAATGGTTTTACATTATGCCATTTCGACCATTCTGCAGTTTGTTGAACTGGATTCCTCTGAAGCTTATTTAACAATTGTTTATGTATAGATCTGTTGAATTTAATATCAGTCTTTAATATTTTATATTTTGAGTATTTCTTATTGGCTAGGATATTTAGTCTATATAAACATTGTTTTCTTTATAGTGATTTAATGTATAATTTTACTTCTGATTCATTTTATATCCCTTCTTCAAATTTCAAATACTTCCGTTAAAGCAGACTTTTCAGAAAATGGTTATTTCTTTTAAAAGATGCTCCAAAAAGCTCCTTTAAACATTGAAGAGGTAGGAAAAAAAGTTAAAGAGGTTACTTTTTCCTTTTACCACTAATTTTAGCCTTTATACACTGGAAACAGTAAATTAATTCTTTTTTATGTGATGATGGCAGTAATCTTTCTCTAAATGTGATTTACCAAAGGTGTAAGGTTGACTAATTCTGTTAATACTGAATTGTTTTCAGTCAGTGCTAGACGAGATGATGGTGGAACAAACAGATCTTGTGCGTTTGCGAATGGTTAGAATGTCCAATGTGCCAGACACACTCTACATGGTCAATAACGCTGTGCCCCAGTGCTGCCACGTGATCAGCCACCAGCAGATCAGCAGCAACCAGTCAAGCCCCCCTTCAGTGGTAGCAAATGAAATCCCAGGTAAGGCAGTTAACCTTGTGCCAGGTGTTTATACTCCAGTGAATAATCTGGTCATATTTTGTAACCCCTCTATATATGCTGATTCTTTCCACTGTCCAATACGCTTTATGCATTCTTCTCATTAAAGAATAAATTCGTATAAGCTAAGTTTTTTTGTTTTGTACTTTATTTTACAGTAACAAATGTATGCAGTTTTTCGGTTTAGCTCAGGGTTTCTCAGCCTTGGCCCTTTTGACAGTTAGGGTTGGATAGTTCTCTTTTGTGGAGGCTGTCCTTTGCATTGTAGGGTGTTCAGCAGCATCCTTGGCCTGTACTCACTAGATGCCAGTTGCACATGTGTTTACATGTGCGTGCACCCACACACACCTTGTGATAGTCTCATGAAGCATTTTTATGTTTCTGCATGTTGCCAGATGTGCCTGTGGGGCAGAATTACTGCCTGTTGAGAACCCTGGTTTAGAGGAATTCAGATTTTTCATCACTGTAGGGTGTTTCTCACATTATAAGACTCTTTGGGGAGAGTACTATCAATTAGATCTTCAAGTCTATATATGTCCTCTCAAAATGTGATTGCCATTGGTTTCTGGGAGATCGAGTTTCCCACGATCTGCTTTGTGAATGTTACATGCTTTGTAATTCAGGCTTCCATCTTACTGTCTATTGATCAAGGTATAATTGTCATGTCCGAAAACATCTGAGCATCAGTCAGTGCTGACATTAACCAAAGGGCTGTCATGTCAGTTTCTAAAACAAGAAAATCCACAGAGATCTAGGGGGTCAGAAATGTATAGCTCTTGTCAGTTACCATTGCAAGAGTCCAAAAAATCAGCAAAGTATATAGCATTACTGGAAATGATGCTATGCATTTTTTGCTGAGAAGTCTGTTTCAATTAAGGATAAATAAAAGACATAACGACAGAACTTTTAATTGAACACATTCGTTTTATTCCAGAACTAATCTCTGATTGGTTTTTGCCTTATCAGATTTGACCACTGTGTATTTATTTAATAAAGCGTTGGATAAACAATGTGAAGAGAAGTATTTCTGTAGCTGGTTTGTGCAGCTTTGGAACCTTTGGTAATTATCATGGACTTTATCAGCTTGAGTTAATACGATTGAGTAGCAGTATAATTTAATCTTAGAACTCACTTTCAAAAGCCCAAAGAGATCTACAATTAAGTGTGCTCAGAAAAATAGGACTTGTCCTTCTGTTGTTTAATGAGACATGGCCCTATGCTTGTACCATCAAAATTCTCCCTTCCTCGCTTACCATGCTGATGTAAGGCATCCAGGTTTTGGAGAGGACTCTTGGGCACATGTTCTGGCTCTGCCACTTTGTGTGACTTTGGACAAGACATCTACTTCCCTGAGCACTAATTTCCTCATCTGTCAAATGAGGATATCTCCTTTCTAGGGTTCTTGTGAAGATTTAAGGAAGCTCTGTGAGTAATACAGAGTTTGCATGACACAAAGTAAGCACTCCATAAACAGTTGCTCCCCTTTCCCAGAATTAATAATCATTTTGTCTCATAGGTGCTTAGAGACTGTCCCCTCTTCCCCAGCCCTCTGCTGCATCCTTAGTCCAGGTTCCTAACCTGTGAGCCTGTCTCTAACCTTCTTCCCACTCTGGCCTTTGTACCAGGGCGTGGCAGACATCTGTGAAGGGCTCGGTAGTCAGTGTTTCGGGCTTCGTGGGACATGCAGTCTCTCTGGCACTGTGCTCAGCTCTGCAGTCATAGGCCAGAGGCAGCCATACGCAATGCCTAAGGGATGAGTGTGGCTGTGAGCCAGTAAAACTTTACTTACAAACAGGTGGCAAAGTGGTTTTAGCCTACAGGCGATAGTTTGCCAACCCCTGCTTTCCACTCCTTTCAGAATGCACTTAGCACATCACAACTCGGATCCTCTCATTCCCCCACACAAGCGCCTGCCTGTTCTTCCCCAGATACAAATTAAATTCCTTGTCATGACATGCAGGGTCATCTGTGGTCTGCCCCTACCCTTCTTACTAGCCTCCTCTCCTGTTACCCTTCCTGCTCGTACCGTCTCTTGGCTGCGCATTCGATTGTGCCTTGCTGTGTCTCACTTGCATGTTTTACACATGCCTGGTACTTCTGCTCAGAAAACCTTGGCTCCACTTTATTTGCCAGCCTGGTTTTCTCTCTCATTCTTCAAGACTCCATTCAGAGCTCACCTCGTCCAGGAAGCCTTCGCTGCCTGCTTCCAGTCTGGATTGGGGGCCCCTTCCTCCAATTCCTTCAGTGTCCTTTGCACATCTTTCTCTGCAATCACTGACGGCCCTCTGCTGTGCTGGTTTATTTCGTTTACTTGGTTAAAACCAGAGCTCTGTAAGGATAGGGATCATGTCTTTTGTTCTGTGCACCCTAATACCTGAGTTGACCCCTGGTGCATAGTCAGGACTCAAAAAATTATTTGAGTAAAAGAGTGAATATATTTAAAAGACTTTTGAAGTATCCTGAGATTCAGCAGAGAATATATGCAAGTAAAATTTTATTTAGGCTGTGAACTCATAATGCAGTTTAGGGGCTCTTTGGTATGACTAAGAGCCTTTGGGGTACTGAAATTTTAAAACCCTAAAAAAATAATTAGATGCATATAAATTACTATCTTTCCTGGGAATTAAAATACTATCAAAAATTTATGAGATGATTCTAATGCAGAACACATGCTTTTTTTTTTTTCCTTGCATTCAGCAGGTGGTCTCTTGTGTGGCTCAGGTACTGTGCCTACAGACTGTTTCTCTCCTTCCAGTTCCCCGTCTCCTCGTCATGAAGGACATGGTCAGACGCCTGCAGGAGCTGCGGCACACGGAACAGGTGCAGAGGGCCTACGCGCTCAACTGCGGGGAGGGCGCCACGGTCAGCTACGAGATCCAGATCCGCGTGCTGAGAGAGTTTGGGCTCGCCGACGCTGCGGCAGAGCTCCTGCAGGTGGGGAGCAGGCCTCCACCCCCTCAAACAGGGAGTCTTGTGTTAGATCGCCATCAGATCAGCTGTTAGATCAACTGTTACTAATAAGGAAAATATTATTGGTATTCTTTTGGATTTTGTGATGTTTGTGTTATTTGTCATATTTTTGAAATTTGCAATGTGTGATTTCTGAGTCTAGACAAATAGTCAGCTTTGTACCTGAAAAAAATAAAATACAAGGAGCCTTGGCTGTCACTCAGGCAGTATTTTCAGACATCCCAAGGAGCCCTCATAGCATGTCCTTTTCTTTGTACGTGCTTTTTCAACTGTCCCTGATGTCTTGGGTGACCTGAAAGCCCCCAGTGAGGGGCAGTGTGGTAGAGTGGGTGGGGCACAGGCTCTAGAGTGAGAACTGGTTTTATGTCCTGGCGATGCTGCTTAGCAGTTAGTTAACTTAGAGCAAGTTATATAACCTCTGTGAGTATCAGTTTCTTTACCTGTAAAATGAAGAAAATTGTGAAGATACGAGTGGCTGTATATAAAGCAGCTATGTGTCTTGCACATAATGAGCATATAAATGGTGACTCCTGAAAGCTCATGGTGTGTACACCCAACAGAGGTAGAAGAGAAAGCAGAAAATTCTGACCCTCTGCTGCTTTTCTTTCCCTGATTTGGTCACTAGATTTCAGGCTGTGACCTACTACATCCTTAACAGACCTTCCAGATGCCCCGCTTTCCCCCTCTCTCCTCCCTTTTACAAAAGTTTTTTTGCACGATAGTTCAAACCATATAAGCTTTTTGAACTAGCAGGAAGAAACCCATTTCTAATAATTATTTAGTACAAAAAACAGTAGTATTTTTGTATAAAATGTGTAATCTTCACAGCAACTAAAGCAGAGACTATGATTTCATCTGGTCAAGTGATTGCATTGTTTTCGTGCCACTGATTGCAAACCATTTTAGCCTGAGTTTTCAAAGGGGAACATGGTATGGTGGCCCTAGGCAAGGAGAAGACCATTTGTAGGTTCTTGATTTTCAATTTTTACTGTAGTTTCCACCCCTAAAAGTCTTGTTTTTGTTCATTTCTGTTCTCTTTGCCATTCTAAATTACATCTTAATTTGATCTCTTAAATGTGTAAGATGTATAATTTAAGTATCCCCATATGTTTATCAAAATATTAATCATACTTATTCCTATATAATAGTATTTTGTAGTTTTTATTTCAGACTGAATGCGTACAGGTGTTTTATCAGAAAGTTCTAGGAGGGTCTTCACTTGTATGCCATTTCTTCTTTTGGTTTTTAATGGTAATTTTATTTTCATATGAAAGACCTATTTGAATTAGGTTTTATTTCCTGTTTTTTATCATCACATAATCTTGCAAGACATTACTGACCTGCTTTCTGGAGTATTCAATTAAGCAGCTCTCCTTAATAGCTGTACTTAGGCTATGGAAGCTATACTCTGCTGTTGTACATAGTGTTTTTTTTTTAGTAAATCATACATTTTATTTATTTATTTATTTTTTTCACAACCATAGTGTATCTTTTTTTTTTTTTTTTTTTAACATGTATTCCCCATCCCGGTCCCCCCTCCCACCTCCCTCTCCACCCGATCCCTCTGGGTCTTCCCAGTGCACCAGGCCCGAGCACTTGTCTCATGCACCCAACCTGGGCTGGTGAACTGTTTCACCCTAGATAATATACGTGTTTCGATGCTGTTCTCTTGAAACATCCCACCCTCGCCTTCTCCCAGAGTCCACAAGTCTGTTCTATACATAGGAGTCTCTTTTTCTGTTTTGCACATAGGGTTATCGTTACCATCTTTCTAAATTCCATATATATGTGTTAGTATACTGTAATGGTCTTTATCTTTCTGGCTTACTTCGCTCTGTATAATGGGCTCCAGTTTCATCCATCTCATTAGAACTGATTCAAATGAATTCTTTTTAATGGCTGAGTAATATTCCATGGTGTATATGTACCACAGCTTCCTCATCCATTCGTCTGCTGATGGGCATCTAGGTTGCTTCCATGTCCTGGCTATTATAAACAGTGCTGCGATGAATGTCTCTTTCAGATCTGGTTTCCTCGGTGTGTATGCCCAGAAGTGGGATTGCTGGGTCATATGGCAGTTCTATTTCCAGCTTTTTAAGAAATCTCCACACTGTTTTCCATAGTGGCTGTACTAATTTGCATTCCCACCAACAGTGTAAGAGGGTTCCCTTTTCTCCACACCCTCTCCAGCATTTATTGCTTGTAGACTTTTGGATAGCAGCCATCCTGACTGGTGTGTAATGGTACCTCATTGTGGTTTTGATTTGCATTTCTCTGATAATGAGTGATGTTGAGCATCTTTTCATGTGTTTGTTAGCCATCTGTATGTCTTCCTTGGAGAAATGTCTGTTCAGTTCTTTGGCCCATTTTTTGACTGGGTCATTTATTTTTCTGGAGTTGAGCTGGAGGAGTTGCTTGTATATTTTTGAGATTAATCCTTTGTCTGTTGCTTCGTTTGCTATTATTTTCTCCCAATCTGAGGGCTGTCTTTTCACCTTGCTTATAGTTTCCTTTGTTGTGCAAAAGCTTTTAAGTTTCATTAGGTCCCATTTGTTTATTTTTGCTTTTATTTCTAAAATTCTGGGGTGTGGGTCATAGAGGATCCTGCTGTGATTTATGTCGGAGAGTGTTTTGCCTATGTTCTCCTCTAGGAGTTTTATAGTTTCTGGTCTTACATTTAGATCTTTAATCCATTTTGAGTTTATTTTTGTGTATGGTGTTAGAAAGTGTTCTAGTTTCATTCTTTTACAGGTGGTTGACCAGTTTTCCCAGCACCACTTGTTAAAGAGGTTGTCTTTTATCCATTGTATATCCTTGCCTCCTTTGTCAAAGATAAGGTGACCATAGGTTCGTGGATTTATCTCTGGGCTTTCAATTCTGTTCCATTGATCTATATTTCTGTCTTTGTGCCAGTACCATACTGTCTTGATGACTGTGGCTTTGTAGTATAATCTGAAGTCAGGCAGATTGATTCCTCCAGTTCCATTCTTCTTTCTCAGGATTACTTTGGCTATTCGAGGTTTTTTGTATTTCCATACAAATTGTGAAATTATTCGTTCTAGTTCTGTGAAAAATACCGTTGGTAGTTTGATAGGGATTGCATTGAATCTGTAGATTGCTTTGGGTAGTATAGCCATTTTGACAGTATTGATTCTTCCAATCCATGAACACGGTATATTTCTCCCATCTGTTTGTGTCCTCTTTGATTTCTTTCATCAGTGTTTTATAGTTTTCTATGTATAGGTCTTTTGTTTCTTTAGGTAGATATACTCCTAAGTATTTTATTCTTTTTGTTGCAATGGTGAATGGTATTGTTTCCTTGATTTCTCTTTCTGTTTTCTCATTGTTAGTGTATAGGAATGCAAGAGATTTCTGTGTGTTAATTTTATATCCTGCAACTTTACTGTATTCGTTGATTATCTCTAGTAATTTTCTGGTAGAGTCTTTAGGATTTTCTATGTAGAGGATCATGTCATCTGCAAACAGCGAGAGTTTCACTTCTTCTTTTCCTATCTGGATTCCTTTTACTTCTTTTTCTGCTCTGATTGCTGTGGCCAAAACTTCCAAAACTATGTTGAATAGTAGTGGTGAGAGTGGGCACCCTTGTCTTGTTCCTGATTTCAGGGGAAATGCTTTCAGTTTTTCACCATTGAGGGTGATGCTTGCTGTGGGTTTGTCATATATAGCTTTTATTATGTTGAGGTATGTTCCTTCTATTCCTGCTTTCTGGAGAGTTTTAATCATAAATGGATGTTGAATTTTATCAAAGGCTTTTTCTGCATCTATTGAGATAATCATATGGTTTTTATCTTTCAATTTGTTAATGTGGTGTATTACATTGATTGATTTGCGGATATTAAAGAATCCTTGCATTGCTGGGATAAGGCCCACTTGGTCATGATGTATGATTTTTTTAATATGTTGTTGGATTCTGTTTGCTAGAATTTTGTTAAGGATTTTTGCATCTATGTTCATCAGTGATATTGGCCTGTAGTTTTCTTTTTTTGTGGCATCTTTGTCTGGTTTTGGAATTAGGGTGATGGTGGCCTCATAGAATGAGTTTGGAAGTTTACCTTCTTCTGCAATTTTCTGGAAGAGTTTGAGTAAGATAGGTGTTAGCTCTTCTCTAAATTTTTGGTAGAATTCAGCTGTGAAGCCATCTGGTCCTGGGCTTTTGTTTGCTGGAAGATTTCTGATTGCAGTTTCGATTTCCTTGCTTGTGATGGGTTTGTTAAGATCTTCTATTTCTTCCTGGTTCAGTTTTGGAAAGTTATACTTCTCTAAGAACTTGTCCATTTCTTCCAAGTTGTCCATTTTATTGGCATAGAGCTGCTGGTAGAAGTCTCTTATGATCCTTTGTATTTCAGTGTTGTCTGTTGTGATCTCTCCATTTTCGTTTCTAATTTTGTTAATTTGGTTCTTCTCCCTTTGTTTCTTAATGAGTCTTGCTAATGGTTTGTCAATTTTGTTTATTTTTTCAAAAAACCAGCTTTTAGCTTTGTTAATTTTTGCTATGATCTCTTTAGTTTCTTTTGCATTTATTTCTGCCCTGATTTTTAAGATTTCTTTCCTTCTACTAACCCTGGGGTTCTTCATTTCTTCCTCCTCTAGTTGCTTTAGGTGTAGAGTTAGGTTATTTATTTGACTTTTTTCTTATTTCTTGAGGTCGGCCTGTAATGCTATGAATCTTCCCCTTAGCACTGCCTTTACAGTGTCCCATAGGTTTTGGGTTGTTGTGTTTTCATTTTCATTCATTTCTATGCATATTTTGATTTCTTTTTTGATTTCTTCTATGATTTGTTGGTTATTCAGAAGCGTGTTGTTTAGCCTCCATATGTTTGAATTTTTAATAATTTTTTTCCTGTAATTAAAATCTAATCTTACTGCACTGTGGTCAGAAAAGATGACTGGAATGATTTCAATCTTTTTGAATTTACCAAGACTAGATTTATGCCCCAGGATGTGATCTATTCTGGAGAAGGTTCCGTGTGCACTTGAGAAAAAGGTGAAGTTGATTGTTTTGGGGTGAAACGTCCTATAGATGTCAATTAGGTCTAGCTGGTCCATTGTGTCCTTTAAAGTTTGTGCTTCCTTGTTCATTTTCTGTTTAGTTGATCTATCCATAGTTGTGAGTGGGGTATTAAAGTCTCCTACTATTATTGTGTTACTATTAATTTCCTCTTTCATACTCGTTAGCGTTTGCCTTACATATTGCGGTGCTCCTATGTTGGGTGCATATATATTTATAATTGTTATATCTTCTTCTTGGATTGATCCTTTGATCATTATGTAGTGTCCATCTTTGTCTCTTTTCACAGTCTTTATTTGAAAGTCTATTTTATCTGATATGAGTATTGCGACTCCTGCTTTCTTTTGGTCTCCGTTTGCGTGGAATATTTTTTTCCAGCCCTTCACTTTTAGTCTGTATGTGTCCCTTGCTTTGAGGTGGGTCTCTTGTAGACAGCATATATAGGGGTCTTGCTTTTTTATCCATTCAGCCAGCCTTTGTCTTTTGGTTGGGGCATTCAACCCATTTACATTTAAGGTAATTATTGATAGGTATGGTCCCGTTGCCATTTATTTTGTTGTTTGGGGTTCACGTTTATACCACCTTTCTGTGTTTCCTGTCTAGAGAAGATCCTTTAATATTTGTTGAAGAGCTGGTTTGGTGGTGCTGAATTCTCTCAGCTTTTGCTTGTCTGTAAAGCTTTTGAGTTCTCCTTCATATCTGAATGAGATCTTTGCTGGGTAGAGTAATCTAGGTTGTAGGTTATTCTCTTTCATTACTCTAAGTATGCCCTGCCATTCCCTTCTGGCCTGAAGGGTTTCTATTGATAGATCAGCTGTTATCCTTATGGGAATCCCTTTGTGTGTTATTTGTTGTTTCTCCCTTGCTGCTTTTAATATTTGTTCTTTGTGTTTGATCTTTGTTAATTTGATTAATATGTGTCTTGGGGTGTTTCGCCTGGGGTTTATCCTGTTTGGGACTCTCTGGGTTTCTTGGACTTGGGTGGCTATTTCCTTCCCCATTTTAGGGAAGTTTTCAGCTATTATCTCCTCGAGTATCTTCTCATGGCCTTTCTTTTTGTCTTCTTCTTCTGGGACTCCTATGATTCGAATGTTGGGGCGTTTCACATTGTCCCAGAGGTCCCTGAGGTTGTCCTCATTTCTTTTAATTCTTTTTTCTTTTTTCCTCTCTGCTTCATTTATTTCCACCATTTTATCTTCTAACTCACTTATCCTATCTTCTGTCTCTGTTATTCTACTCATGGTTCCCTCTAGAGTGTTTTTGATCTCATTTATTTCATTATTAATTTTTAATTGACTTTTTTTTATTTCTTCTAGGTCCTTATTAAACATTTCTTGCATCTTCTCAATCTTTATCTCCAGGCTATTTATTTGTAACTCCATTTTGTTTTCAAGATTTTGGATCATTTTTATTATCATTATTCTAAATTCTTTTTCAGGTAGATTCCCTATTTCCTCCTCTTTTGTTTGACTTGGTGGGCTTTTTTCATGTTCCTTTAGCTGTTGGGTATTTCTCTGCCTTTTCATCTTGTTTAGATTGCTGTGTCTGGAGTGGGCTTTCTGTATTCTTGTGGTCTGAGGTTCCTTTTTATTGTGGAGGTTTCACCCAGTGGGTGGGGTTGGACGATTGGTTTGTCAAGGTTTCCTGGTTAGGGAAGCTTGTGTCAGCGTTCTGGTGCGTGGAATTGGATTTCTTCTCTCTGGAGTGCAATGGAGTGTCCAGTAATGAGTTTTGCGATGGATCTATGTGTTAGGTGTGACTTTGGAGAGCCTGTATGTTGACACTCAGGTCTATGTTTCTGCGTTGCTAAAGAATTTGCGTGGTATGTCTTGTACTGGAGCTTATTGGCTCTTGGGTGGTGGTTGGTTTTGGTGTAGGTATGGAAGCTTTTGGATGGTCTCTTATTCCTTAATGTTCCGTGTAGTCAAGAGTTTTCTGGTTTTCTCAAGATTTGGGCTTAAGTCTCCTGCCTCTGGATTTCAGTTTTGTTCTTCCAATAGTCTCAAGACTTCTCCAACTATACAGCACTGATAATAAAACTTCTGGGTTAATGGTGAAAAGATTCTCCACTGTGAGAGACAACCAGAGAGGTTCACAGAGTTACATGAAGAATAGGAGAGGGAGGAAGGAGATAGAGGTGATCAGGAGGAGAAAAAGGGGACTCAAGAGGAGAGAGACAGATCTACGCAGTTATCTGTTCCCAAAGTGTTCTCCGTAGCCCAGACACCCACAAAGATTCACAGAGTTGGATTGGGAAGAGAAGGGGAAAGGAGGAAATAGAGGTGTTCCGAGGTAGAAAACAGAGAGTCAAAAGTGGGAGAGTAATCAGCACACTCCTGAATAGAAATGGGAACTGAATATTGGATTCTTAAATGACCAAAATTTATATCACATACTACTGAAAAACAAAGATTAAAAATCTAGTGTAGAGGTTAGACTCTTTGAAATACAATATTTAAAAACAAAAACACACAAAAAAAATTTAGAAATGTATATGAAGTTTGATTTAAAAATAGGGTTTTTCTCTCTCTTTTTTTTTTTGGCAAGGTTATAGTGAAATGAAAATAAAAATTAAGGAATAATAGAGGAGTATTCGAGGACTTTAAAAGGAAATAGGAGAGAAAAACAAGAAAAAGAAAAAAAAAGAAAAAAAAATTTTTTTTTCCCTAATTAAAAAAATCGTAAAAATATATGAAAATGAAAGTTGAGGAGTAATGGGGGAGTAATAGGGAATTTTAAAAGAAAATAAAAGAGAAAAAATTTAAAAAAATTAAAAAAAGGATAGAAAAAAAATTTTTTTTTTAATTAAAAAAAAAATATATATATATATATCTAGGAATTTCTCTGGAGTTGTTGCGGTCAGCGTAGGTTCAGTTCAATTTCAGATAGCTCCTCTTTCCAGCTTACACTTCTCGATATCTGTAGGCCCCTTCTGGTGTAGTCGGTGTTACCTTCAGGGAGTTTATCTGTTGCACCAGTCCTTTCTGAAGCGGTTCCCTTTGTTTATTTGGCTTCCGTTTGCCGTCTCTTTGGTGTCTAATTTCCGCCCTGACACAGGCGGGCGGAGGTGATCTCTTATTTAGGTTCGCTAGTTCAGTTCAGTCCTGCTACGGGGAGGGCGGGGCGCTGCAGACAGACACCGCTCTGTGTGGATAGCACTCACCGTGTTCCGGCCTCACTGGGTTTGCAGCACTCACGGGTGTCAGTGCTTTCGCCGTCTACACTGCTCAGGCTCCCGGCTGCTCTATATGGAGCGGGCCCTGCGTTGAGTGCGGTTCCAGTTTTCGGGTACTCCACAAAAGCGCAGATTCGGTTGCGCCTGCGTTTTGTGCCTTCCCCGGCCTGAGCGGTTCAGGCAGCCAGAGGCGTGGGCGCACTCTCCCCGGATGCGGCGCGCCTTTTCCCTCCGCGGCGAGCGGCCCAGGCAGCCAGAGGCTTGGGCGCACTCTCCCCGGATGCGGCGCGCCTTTCCTTTTCCCTCCCCGGCCTGAGCGGCTCAGGCAGCCAGAGGCTTGGGCGCACTCTCCCCGGGTACGGCGCGCTTTTTCCCTCCGCGGCCCCAGCGCGCACCGCCAGTCGGGTCTCAGAAGTCTTTAGATAGGAACCGGGGGCCTGTTTGCAGTGTGGGAGGGGGTGGCTTCTCAGGGGCTGAGTTTGCCCTTTTCCCCTCCCCCCTGCCTCCTACCTCCAGCGGGGATGGGCCGGCTCTTCTCTGGACTTTCTCAGTCCCTTTATTTTGCGAACCGCCGGCAGTGTGTTCGGGCCTGTTAATTTTGTCCCTCACTATCCCGCAGTTTAAAAAAAAAGCTCCCTCCAATTGCTCTCAGGATCTTCGGGCCGGTCCTTACCGCAATGCCGCCCGCTCCTCTCCGTCCCGCCCCCGCTTGTTGCTGGCGGGTACGGGCGTCTGGGGTACTTTTCTGCTGGGAGTTGCTTTTAGGCACGTAATCTGTGGGCCTTGTTTAATCTCCCAGTTAGATGGCCGAAAACTTCCCCCAGTCCCGCCAGTGCGAGGGTTTCCTGGTGATTGGAAACTTCCTCTATTAAGACTCCCTTCCCGGGACGGGTCTCCGTCCGTAGCTCTTTTGACTCCCTTTCTATCCTTTATATTTTGTCCTACCTCCCTTCGAAGACAATGGGCTGCTTTTCTGGGCGCCTGATGTCCTCTGCTAGCGATCAGAAGTTGTTTTGTGCAATTTGCTCAGCATTCAAATGTTCTTTCGATGAATTTGTAGGAGAGAAAGTGGTCTCCCCGTCCTATTCCTCCGCCATCTTGGCTCCTCGTACATAGTGTTTTTAAGGTTATTTTTTCTTGAGCTTCAGGCCTGGAAAAATATGTTGTGCCTTTTACTTTTATGGAATGTGGTTTTCTTAGGTACTCACTTAACTCTCTCAGCCTGTAAATTTCTGTGCAGGAAATCTGCTAACAAATATCTTAACTTTCTCCCCCTCCATTCTTTCTTAGAATCCTCACAAATTCTTTCCTGATGAACGTTTTGGAGATGAAAGTCCACTCTTGACAATGAGACAGTCTGGGAGAGGTCGAGTCAACAGCACCCCCACTACAGAAACCATGTTTACAGACCTGGACTCTTTCGTGGCCTTCCATCCACCCTTACCCCCACCACCACCTCCCTACCACCCGCCAGCGACCCCAGTCCACAATCAGCTCAAAGCAGGCTGGAAGCAAAGACCTCCCAATCAGCATCCTTCACGTTCGTTTTCATATCCCTGTAATCACTCACTGTTTCACTCCAGAACAGCCCCTAAAGCTGGCCCCCCTCCAGTCTACTTGCCAGGTGTGAAAGCAGCGGCCCCTGACTGTACCAGCACCACGGGGCTGGGGAGACAGACGGTGGCTGCCGCCGCCGCCACCTCAGCAGCAGCAGCATCTGAGAAACAAGTGGTGAGTCCGCACTTCAATGACTTACCTAAAGGTAAAAGTTTCTGGAATGTTAAAAGCAATTTCCTAGGCCCCAGGAGCCCTACCTGGGACTCAGCAGTGCACAGAAGTGTAACTGACAAGCTGAAAGCATAGACTTACGGAGTGTGGAAATTGGAGAGAAAAAGAGAGTGTAGGTGGATGAGAAAGTCCAGAGAAAAGAGACAAGATGTGTGTGGTGGGAAGAAGTGTGCCTTCCCTTATGTTCACGTGCAGGTGTATGGATGAGGTGGAGTTACTGGGCAACACAGGTGATGTTGTTACTGGTTTCACAGTGTACTCTTCAAGCATGTGCATGTCTAGAGTCTGTTCTTGTTCTCTATTCTGTAGTCTGCTATTCTCCCAAAGGCTTTGGTGGGGTGGGAAGGGGAAGCTACTTGTAGCTGAGCATACCATCAGGAACAGTGTGGCAGGAGACTCCCCATTCATAAAATAGGCAGAAAATTGACCCTCATGAGTGTCTCTGCCTCTCGCAAGCTGTTTGATCAGAGCACTCATTTAATTGGAAATCACAGTTGCCAGCTCTAGTTTGCTACTTCCTTGCTTAATCTTGCACTGCATTGAAGGTTGAATTTCTGTTGTATATAATACATTTGAAAAAAAAAATATTGATTTTTAAGTCTTCCTGCTTAGTCACACATCATCAGTAGCATTCAACATAAGAGATAAACAAAAGATACATATATTCAGGGAATCTCCATTGAAAGATGACTGGACGAGTGTATACCTTGAGTTAAATTATGGTCCTTCCTCACCTTTTACCCTTCTGCCTATTCTCCCTGCTATCCATTCCAACCCCTCAAAAAAGAAGAAATAACAAAGGTCAATAGTGTTGGATAAACCCAATTTCCATCTTATCAGCCTGGGCCTCAGTGCCACAGTTACAAAAATTCTACTACTTTATAATTAAATAAAACTCCCTTTGAAGGTAATTTATCTGTATGTTCCATACAGTCCTGATTATAATAATGAAAAATTGGAAACTGCCTTAAGGTCTCACAGTGGAAGAATAGTTAAGCGGTCATGCCTCATCAATACAGTGGAATAGTATGCAGTAATTTAAATAGAAATCTCAAAGAAAATGTAGTGACAGTATTATATATGCACTAAATTTTATGAAAATTAGTATATGTGCAAAATTAAAAAGGTGAGAGAACTGCTTCAAAACGTTAATAATAGTGGTTATCTCAGTAGGGAAGGTTTGGGGTTTTGTGGGGTTTTTTTATAGTTTTCTAGATTTTTATTATTCTTAAAATTAAGCTTGTGTTTTTATAATGAGGAAATAAAATCAGTGAACATCATTTGAAAAAGAGGGAGTCACAGGCCTTTTTAACCTTCCCCCTGTTTTGTTTCTGTTTGCAGTGCACACAACCTGTGCTAAACGATCTAATGCCAGATATTGCCATGGGTGTGTCCACGCTGTCACTCAAGGACAGGAGGCTTCCAGAACTTGCTGTGGACACAGAATTAAGCCAGGCAGTTTCTGAAGTAGGACCAGGGCCTCCCCAGCATCTATCGTGTATTCCACAGAGACATACACACACGTCTCGAAAGAAACACACACTAGAGCAAAAAACAGATGCTCGAGAAAATCAGCAGGAATATCCGGATTTCTATGACTTCTCAAATGCTGCTTGCAGACCATCCACTCCTGCCCCTGGCAGACGTACCCCCTCCCCTTCACAAGGTGGATATTTTGGTCCCGATTTGTATAGCCACAATAAGGCATCACCAAGTGGCTTAAAGTCAGCCTACCTACCAGGCCAGACCTCGCCTAAAAAGCAGGAAGAAACTAGGAGAGAATATCCACTTCCCCCCGACGGGCATCCACACAGACAGAAGAGTGAGCCGATACACCTCGACGTTGTTGAGCAGCCTCCCCAGCGGCCAGATTTTCCCTTGGCAGCCCCAGAAAATGCCGGCAGTGGTTCAGCCCATGTCAGGGGGCGAGCAGCAATGGAATCTGACTTGACTTTTGGGCTGACTCCTAACAGACCTTCACATTCTGCATGTAGCTCTGAAGCTCCAGAAGAGAGATCTGGCAGAAGACTGGCAGATGAGTCCCTGGGCCATGTAGCTCAGCGAAATACAGATTTGGAAAGGGAAGATTCAATCAGCAGAGGAAGGAGGTCCCCGAGCAAGCCAGACTTCCTCTACAAAAAGTCTGCCCTCTGAGAGCAACCTCCAAGTCGTCTGTGCCTGAGATGTGAAACATCCCATTTTATGATGTAACCCAACAACTTAGAGACCAGTTTATTGATGCCAGCTGATAACTCGGTTTCACGTTATTTTATTCTAGTTTTTGTATATACATGTTTATTAGACATGGCATGCTAAGAGGGTTATTTTGAATGCTGCATCTGTCTGTTTTGTGTTTGAACAATTGTGTGGGAAAGCATTTTTAAGAACAAGCAAGCTGGCACTTTTTTTTTCCCTCTCTTTACAAACAGTGGAATTTTTTTGCACTTGTACCTTTGTTTTATCTGTATTGGTTTTATATCGGTATGTTAAACTTTATTGCCACATTTAAAGAACTGTATTTTCATACTTTTTTGCATTTTACCTTTCATCTACCTATTTCCACGTGCATTGGATTGCACACTAAGATGTATTTTCTTATGAAATAGTTCTGTGTTTATTTTTTAATTATAGAAATTCCAAAGAACAGCACATCAAAATGCTCCTCTCTTTTCCGTAGTTGTTTCAGTTCAGAAACCTTCCTGCTCAGTCTTCATAAATCTCATGTCATCCTATTTAAATAAGTCCTGGAAGCTGATCTTCATTCCTCCAGGAGTCGTCCAATCAGGAATCCTGAAGTTTTCCTGGTTCAGGAAAGAACAAGGAGAAAAGCCTTCTGCGTCCAGGCAAAAGCTTGTTGTTTCATCCACAGTGCAGACTCTGTTAGAATCACTGCAGGTTCTGGTCATGTGGATTAGAGTTTCACTAGATGAGGTTTGAAAGAGATCAGCTTCCTTGGAATCCTAAAACAGTGGAATTAGTAACTTAAGCTTGCACTACGGGATCGCTGCTTCTGAGCATCAACTCAGCAGCTGAGGGGGGAGTGACTGCTTGCTGCCTTCAGTTGTCCTGCTCTCTTGTGGGGGAAAAAAAAACAAAAGGGCTTCAGTTTTATGGATGTCATTTGGTGTTTGTAAGTAGATGTTTTAAGTGTTTTTCAAAGTGTGTCAGAATTTTGGTGTCCTTTAAAAAGTTATTGTATAATGCATAATGCTTTGTCACCAAAAAAGAAAAACCATTTTTTTTTTCCAGTGAAACACTACATGTCCTACTTGAACTCCACTGGGGATGCTGGTTTGGGATTTTACTGAACCACTGAGCACATGGGATCTTTTAAGATCCTTTCCCTTAGAAGGGCAATGTGTGAGCTAAGGACTGTTGTTTTCTTACTCTCCAATGTAAATATATTAGCATTTGAGTTTTTAAATCACTTCAACATTATTTGAGCATTCACTTTGTATTTTTACACATAACACACAGCCGTAGCACTTAGAAGAAAAGAGACTTTCTGAGCACTCCCTCACTTGAAGGATGTTCCGGAGCCTCCTCTCTGTGTATGTATATATACATATATACAACTCTGAATCACTCACACTCACTCTAAAACTATGCAGGGCTAGAGAGCCTTTACAAGCTATCATATAGATGAATTACATGCACTTTTAAGTAAATAGGTTTCTATTGGATGTCAACAACTCTGATTTTTCCAGAAACTGTAGTTTCTCTTACAGTCTCTTCCTACTTTACCCTGTGGATATACACTCAGGAATAATCTGACATTTTAAAAAATCCTAACAGTAGATAGTCTCAAAACTGGGAACACGTCAGTTGATCTGTCTACACCGGCAAACCGCTGCCACTCGCTCCGCTGCCTGGCTAGTTAGCTGCTGCCCATGCATCCGTCGATGTTGGCCACGCTGCACACCAAGCCCTGGGACTGTCAGAGTCAGCACCAGGCTGCTATGAGATCAGCTGCATATCATCACCTCTGAGGTTCCTTTTTTTTTAAAAGATGGAAAACTTTAGGACTCTGTTCTCATTTTTAGGAGGTTTGACCTTTTGTAATAAGATGACGGTGTCTTTTGAAACTAATCTCGGTCTGTCTCTCCTCAGAAACAAAAAATATTCATTCCATCTCATTCCTTAAGGTGTATTTATATACATGTGTTGACATGAATTCTTTTGATACAGTTTTAAATTTCTCTTCTGAATTCAGACTGTGCTGTGCTGTGCTGGTACTACAATTAAGAGTGAGTAGATATAGTTGGTGGGGAAGTCTTTCTGATCTCCAACCTGTTTTTTTGTGTTTGTTTTTTTTTAAAGACATAAGAGCTATTGATGCCCCACATGGCATATTTCTGAAAATTTATTAAATATTCTTTCATGTCCCCAAAATATAAAAGAAGTGACCCACTGTTAGTAGTTTTATTTAATTTATGAAGTTTGTTTTTAATAATTTGGTAGCATACCTGGCTGAACTATGTATAGAGAGAAAAGTGCTGTGGGACTGTGGACTGCTGTGACTTGCAGAAGGTGAACAGACGTGGGTTTTGTGTTAGGGTAGGGTTAATGGATTTTTAATGTGTCTCGGGAAATATGGTCAGTAGGGTAGGTTGAATAGCTATGTGCCTCTGACTTTTGACCCCATCTCTTCAATCTTTTTTTAATGCCTCGTAAGCATTAAAATCTTTTAGTGCTGTACTAAGATAAATGTGAAGTCTGAGTAAGATTGCTCTGAGAAATTAATATGTATAATATAAAACTTAGGCCTAGCGTTTTACTCGGTGTAGAAACTTCCTGAGAACCAAATCTCAACACACCAGATCTCCTCTTGAGGCCATGGACAATCAGGCCGTTAGACAATCGCCACTTTTGGTGCCCACCATGTTGAGGTTGGCGAATGCCAGTTAGACCCTGGAGTGAAAGCCGAGGATCCACGTTTCTTCAAGATGCTGTTGGTCTTATTCTTACATTTTTAATTCTGTGATCTTGATTAATAATTTCAGTTCAGAGGCATAGGTATGACTCCTAAGGAGAAAAGATAGCAAGAAAGGCGAAACTTATTTCCTGAAAAAAGAGTCGTTTGAATTGTCCACGTACCATGCATAAGCTTTCTCAGCACCCCTGTAGCTTTTTCTAGGCACATCCCTAGACCTAAGCTCTCCTGACATTTTGGTAACCAGGTAGATTTTAAGGATTTTAAATTACTTCTTTTTATTTGAGTTTTTTTTTGTTATTGTTGAACTCTCTATGAAACTTTACCTAATTCTTGTTTATGCCTCCTTAAAAAAAAACCTGTTCTTCATTGGGTTTTCTTTGGATTTGTTCTTCAAACTTGAGTAGCAGTGGATAGCACTTGTCCATTGATGGATGGAAAACAGCACATGCAGCCTCAGCAGAGGGTACAAAGCTGAGCCCGCCATGTGTCGGTCTCTAGAGGTCTCAGTAACAACTCAGCAAAATATGTATTTTCATGTTTAAATCTGCCTTTTAGGGAAAATAAGTTTCGTGAAACACTTGTAAGATACTTGTTCAGAACTCTAAAGCATTTATGTTTTTATCTTAGGACTGAACTCAAAGGGAAATGTTTGACTTTTTAGTTATTTGGTTGACCTTTAACTTCCGGTTGAAAGTTACTGTTAAAGCGGCAGTGATGGGTGCTACTCCCTGTTCTGCAGTGGTTTACTTTGTCTACTAAGGAGTTTACTTTCAAACCTCATTACAGATAACCTTACTAAAAGAGTTACCGTCACACACTAAAGGGTATCATGCTATTTTTCCATTAACACTATTGTATAAACAATGTTCTATGAAATGTTAAGTTGTCTCTTTGTCCTATTGATTGCAATAGCTGTTATGTAATTGTTGTATTGGCAAGTCTTTTGATTTTTTTTTTTCCTCTAGAAAACCCTCAGACCATGAGTCAATCTTCCATATTCTGAATATTATAATGCTGTGGCCATTTCTGTAGAAAGATGACTCACAAGTGTGTATCTTGAAAATAACTCTTGTGTTTGAGTGTTTACGTGGGTTCTGTCTTAAGAGCTGAGAGGAGCTCTGGAAGCCTCATGGTGTACCTGCACGTGACTGTGTGTGTGGGTTCCACGGGCAGGTGGGATGGAACCTTGCTCTTAGGTGGGGTGGCTGAGAGAGAGATTCCTGAACTCCACTTGCTGTTTATGCACCACGTCTGCACTTGAGAGAGGTGGTGTCTTCTACAACACTGCATTTCTTGTGGTTGTGCTGTTACTGGTATAAAGTCAAGTGCCTTCAATGCTAAAGGCTCAGAAATTTTTCTTAAAACTGATTTCATGTCCTATGCAAGTGTTTTCTACAACCTGCATAACCAGTACTTTGTAAAACTTGTTTACGCTTCGACTGTACATAGTGTTTTTTAAAGAAATACATAGTATTTTTATTTAGGTACCTCCGAACTTGAACTCGTCTGTGGGAAGCATTGTAAAACGATCGATCCATTTCTCTTTTGAGTACCATTACGGTTGTACAGAGGTTTTCACTGGTTCTATTTTTCTACTGTTACTGACAAGCATGTAACACTGACTTTATCCTACATATAGTTGGCGTTTCAAATAAATGGCTTGGATAGAACCCGCTGAGTTGGATACAGTCTGTTTTAGCAGGTAGCACACAGCCCTCAGTTACAGAAGTGATTTTGTCCCCACCAGCAGGGTAGAAAGTGGAAGGTTTTCTAGATGGACTTCTCCTCTGTCTCTTGGCCTTCAGGTATTCAAAGACTTGTTAAGTATTAACAGATTTCTTGGAAATAACCACCTTCTCATTTGATTCAAGTTCAAAATTTCCTGTGATGTCACTGGGGGCATTCTTGAGAGATTTCATTTTACACTTTGAACAAAAGTAACTTGCGCCCGGGCCACCACAGCGACTTCAGCGTTCAAAACACATGAACCCAACACCTGGAATGAGTCAGCATCTGGAAGGGCTGTGGTGAGAGACACAGATACATCCCAAGATTCACAGGCCTCCAAGTGTCAGACACCTGGCTTAGATTCAAACTCCAAGCATTAATTAGGATTTTTCAGTTTGAAAGGAGAATGATGTCATGATCTAGAGCCTAGTTTTCTGGGGGAAAAAAAAAAAAGAAAACATGTAAAATAGAAAGCTTTCCAATTTGCATT